GTTATTACCTCCTGGCAGCCCCCTAGCCTTCACCTTGGCTCTGCGATGTAAAGCTGATGCCTAAGCGTCAGACACCACAGGCCTACATCCTGGGACTTGGAGGATTCAAGCTTTCCCTGGGCTTCTGCAGACCCGCAGGCCACATAGGCCTAGTCCTGCCTCAGGAAAGGGAGGCAGGACTGCTGATCCTCACTCCAGGAAAGGGAGTTTGCTCCAGGCGATGGAGGAAGGGTCATGGAGGTCACTCTGCATCCCTGCTAGACGGTGGGCCCGAGCCCCCACCCCCCATCATCCCCTTCCCTGAAGAGAGGGAGGAGAGGGGCTCAGGGTCGCTGAGGAGGGCTCGGACCAGCAACTCCAGGGTCGAGTAGTGTGTGCAGGGGCGGGGAGCCAGGCTTGCGAGGAGAGTAGGCTAACTCCTCCCCAGCAGGGGAGCCCCCACCCTGCCAAAGGGATCCCGCCGCGCCCGACTTGATCCTCTGGGGCAGATCAGCACCTCAGGCCCCGCCCCGCGGCCCGCTGCCTGCCGGGATTTGTAGTTGGAAGGGGCGGGGCCAGGAGGGCCGGGAGAGCGCTCATGAGTGTGTGAGTGTGCGTGTGTGTGTGCGTAAGTGTGTCCTGAGTCTCGTTGTGGCGTTCCCATCCTCCTGACCTCGCCCCCGACCCAGAGCCCTTTAGATCTGAGCTTAGCAAAGGCATTGCAGGCCGCAGCTTCCGAGACTCCGCCCGCGGCCCACTGCCTGCTGGGATTTGTAGTTCGTAGGGCCTCCGCCCCAGGTTGGGGCGGGGACCCAGGTGCTCCCCCGAGTCGTCGTTCCCCCCACCGGCCCTGGAATTGGACGTTGGGCCAGGCTCGAAACTCAGGCCGGGCTCCTGTGGCCCTTTCCGACGACACTGCGATGTACCTATCGCGCCTGCAGGACTAGCCTTGGGATGGGCAAACTGAGGCACCACGAGGGTCGCGCTCTGGCCGAGGTCCGCCCCTTGTGGAGTAAGGACTTGGTCTGAGAGACTCAGCCTGGGCTTGGCTGGCAAGGCTGGGCCAGGTGAGGGTCCAGGGCCCTTTCAGTTCTTAAGAGTTTTTGATCAATGATGTCTCAAACTAATGAACAAGCTCGCCCAGGACTGGCTGTGCACATTAGAGCTGATTACCTTACAGGGTCGACTGATAACATTTTTATTTGCCAAATTTGACAACACTACAGAGGGGAGCCCAAGGAGGGAGGAAGTCTCTTGTTAACTATGGGTGACTCTGGACCACAGCTCTGCTTCGAAGATCAAATAAACGGGGTTTGTGTGGGGGTGGAGGGTAAAGTTATTTTGTAAACTATAAAGCCCCTGTGAGTGAGGTGTTAACCAGGATCTGAACTCAAGTACTGGAGAAAAGGCTCTGGGAGCCTCCCTTTATAAGAGAATGTACACTTACTGTAGTTATGTATGAAATCCCCTTTAGGAGAAGCTGGGTGATAGCTACATGGAATTTCCCTAGATTTATTTTTTATGTGGGGTACAAATGGGTCAATAATAACCTTACCACTCAAAAGTTACAAAGCCCTTTGTTTTTTGCTTGTTGATAGCTTTATGGAGATATAAGTAATATACTATGTAATTCACCCATTTAAAGTGTACAATTCAATGTTTCATTAATAGTGTATTCAGAATTGTGCAACCATCAGCATGATGTAATTTTGGAACATTCTCATCACCTCAAAAGTAAACCTGTACCCATTAGCAGTCTCCCTCTAACCCTCGCCCTCCCCTCCAGCCCTAGGCGACCACTAATCTATTTCTATTTCTATAGATTTGCCTATTCCGAACATTTCATATAAATGGAATCATACACTATATGGTCTTTGTGACTGGCTTCTTTAACTTAGCATGATGTTTTCAAAATTCATCTAGGTTGTAGCATGTATTGGTACTCCATACTATTTTTGTAACTTTTTGTAAATCTGTAATTATTCTGAATTTAAAAAAATTTTAAAGCAAGGTATCTAGAGTGCGAGCAGAGGTAGCTCCTTGGGTGTGAAAGGACTCACAGCTGGCACTAGCATTCAGGGCTGAGGACAGGGTGGGTCTGAGGAGAGGAGGAGGGAGAGGAGAGCCTGGCAGACATGAACTCCCACCACCTGGCTCCCCACCCATCCTCTGCCACTTATTAAGTAGGTCCCAGAACAAGTTATTTTCTTTTTTTTTTTTCCTTTTTTTTTTTTTTGTTTTTAGACAGAGTCTCATGCTGTTGCCCGGGCTAGAGTGCTGTGGCATCGGCCTAGCTCACAGCAACCTCAAACTCCTGGGCTCAAGCGATCCTCCTGCCTCAGCCTCCCGAGTAGCTGGGACTACAGGCATGCACCACCACACCCAGCTAATTTTGTCTATTTTTAGTTGTCCAGCTAATTTCTTTCTATTTTTAGTAGAGACGGGGTCTCACTCTTGCTCAGGCTGGTCTTGAATTCTTGAGCTAAAGTGATCCTCCCACCTCAGCCTCTGGCATACAGTGCCAGCACTCAATAGTGTTAGCTGTTATGGTGTTGAGGACCCCAAGTGGCCCAGGCTGTAAAGGGGTAAATCTGTCCTCTTGTGTCCTCTAGGGGCCCAGCCCCTCCTTCCTCAATCACTCAGTGCCCTTGGCAGACCACAGTGCTCCTCCTAAGCTCCTCTTGGCCCGCCCACTCTGCTGTACTGGGCAGTCCCACTTTCCCAAGAAGTCACCAAGGAACTCCAGGGTGTCACTGTTCTAGTTGGTTCTGAGCACCCAGCAGCGATTGAAGAGAAACCAAACAAAACTTTCTGAATCTTGAGCTTTATTTAGAAAATATGGCCATCCAGATCCCTAGCCATTCCTCAGCACCTGTGAAATGATCTAGAAAAATTCATTTGCAGATCAAGTTTAATGGATAGAAGCATCCAGAGTCAATGCCTTCAAAGGAATGTTTCGAGAGTTTTGATATTGAAATCAAGTGCTGCAACAGAGCCCTGCCAGCCCCACATGGTGAGGAAATGCAACAGCTCAGCTTGAGCTGCGCTTCTGGATTGGAGTCAGAGGAGCCAGAAGGGACTGTCCTACTCTAGTGCCTTCATTTTACAGATGGGAAACTGAGGCCCAGAGAGGACCACGTGGCAGGGTAATTAGAAGCCAGATTAGGAACTTGCTAGGGAGAATCCTTTGCAATTTTCCTTAGTTCTCAGCCCTGGAAATCAGTTGATATCTTGGGTCCATGGACACAAAAGCAGAAAGCTGGTTATCTTGGGTGTCCCCAGAACTTGCTAGAGCCTAAGCAGCCAAGTCCAGAAGGCAGTGTCTGATGCCTTTCTCTCCTGGTTTCTCTCAGCCAGACATGCATCCTATAAGTAGGTGTTTGTCAATAAGGTAATGGCACCTTGCACATATCCAGGCCTTCATTCTTTTCAAAGAGCCTCCTCTAGGTCATCTCATTGGATCCTCACAATCCCTCAAGTTAGGAGGCCTGGAGTTTCTTATGTTTTTTTTCTTTTTCTTTTTTGCAAAGCCCCTCAGTAAATGGAGGCCTGGAGTTTCTGTCCTTGCTGCACAGGTGAGGAAGCTGTGGCTCTGAAAGCTTAAGCAATTATCCCAAGGCCACAGAGGTGGGGGCAGTACTAGAATATGGGAATTTTGCTCTCTAATCTGTTAACACACTTGGTAAAATTTGAGGGGGATGCCTATTACCTGCTGGGTGCTATGCCAGGTGCTGGGTTGCATGGATGATTTGACATGATCCCTGGCTAGAGGTGCTAACGGTGTGATGGGGGAAGCACACATGTGGCAAACCATAAAACATGGTGGGAAGAGAACTTTTTGGGGTAGTAGAAAGTGTTTTATATCTTGGTAGGGATGTGGGTTACATGGGTGTTGCATCTGTCAAACTCATCAAATTTGTGCATTTTACTGTAAATTTGACCTTACAAATATAAAAAATGTGAATGCTCTGGGAGGACTATGCCTAGCAGGGCTTTGGTGGGGCCCAGCTGTCTGGAAACAGGCCCGGGTGGACAGGCTGCCTATGGATACAAATCCACCTTTGTTAGCAGGGTGTGGCTGAAAAGTTTTCCCATGGGGCTGTCAACAGAGATTGGCCTTGATGCCCAGAGGACCTGGGAGCACTGAGGAGGGAGTTTCATAGGAGGGATATTTAAGCTGAGTCTGCAGGGAGAGCAGAACCCTTCAAGGAAGGGCGGATAAGCAGGGGGAAGGTGGTTTCCAAGCATTCCTTGCTCAGTGTGCTTGCCCAGGGGTGCCCAGAGGGAAAGAAGCAGTCCAGGGTTTGAATTGTTTCCCATATCCCAGGCCCCATCGGTGGGCCTCAGAGAAACTCATTCTGGTTGGGATTTTCAAAGCTTCTTCCCAAGAAAGGGGAAAGGACTTTTGCCACTGTGTCACAGGCTGACCCTGATGCTCTTTGTCAGCTGCCATCTTGCGTGGGTTTGCCCACCATTCAGCAGCCAAGGGGAAGTGTGGGCCCTCTGCTGTCCAATGCACTTCTGGAAGGGCTGGCCTCTGGGCGCAGAGGCTGGCTGGCCTGTTTTCCTTGGAATGCAGAGCAAGGGGAGGTGTTGCAGGTCAGAGCAGCCTGGGTTACAATCCTGGCTCTGCTAATGAACTAGCACTGTGACCCTGGACAAGTTACTTACCCTCTCTGAGCCTCCCTGAGCCCACTTTTATTCTGCAGGAATAATGATGTAGATATGAGGACTGAACAAGATCCCGTTTAAAGCACCAAGCACATAGACGCTCAAAGAACAGTAGCTGTTCGCACGCAGAGTGATCGAGGCCAAGGACCTACCGACTGAATGGGAAGTGACACTGCAATCCTCTCGCAAAGTTTTCAGAATAGCATAGTTGTCCTTGGCTTCCCCAGTGCCCACCTCCACACCCCCATTCTGGGTCTCTTTTGGCACCCGTCTCCCCTCGGGACCATCCGAGCAGCAGGCTCAGGGGCGCCCCCGCCTGCTCAGGACGGCGGGCCCCTCCCTCTGACTCACCCGCGGGCTTCTGGCCACTCTCCTCCGGGGGCGGGGGGCGGCTGAGGCAGCGCCCAGAGCCGTCGAGCGAGGCGCAGGCAGGCAAGTAGCGCGCTTCGGGGTCTGCTCGGGCTCCCCCTGTAGGGGTCGGAGGGTCTCGGCCGGTCCGGGACGCCGCGCTCGCTCCTCTCCTCCCCGCGCCGGGAGGCGGTTCTTAGGGGCGCACGGTCTCCTCGGTTCCCGGAAGGAGGGGTGGGAGAAGGGGCGGGGGGTCCGGGCTAAAGAAATGCTTCATTTCACTTCGTTAGGGACAAACTAAGTAGTTCTGCTCGGGGGAAACGAAGGGGCAGGAACGCTATGGGTCTGGTAAAAAAACAAGGTCTAGAGTCGTTACCAAGTATTGATTAGCATGTGCATTGTCTGCGTCTCCAGCCGCTGGGGACAAACTCTGGGCTGAGTTATTTGCTCTTTTGTTTCGCTGTTAATTTGCGAACCTCTCCCCCTCCCCCCCCTTTTTTTTTGCCTGTGATGGCAGAGCCACCTTTAGCCTGAAAAGGCTCGAGTGTGGGAAACAGTGATTTCCACTCATCCTTGTCCCCTGGGTGGGTGCACAGAGTCCGGAACCTAAGAGCCACCCACATTATGCACTGAATCGACGAACCTTGGCGGGCATGGAGTGGGGGTGGAGGGGTGGGAAGGGGAGAGTGATCTGTGGTTTAACTTTCTGTCCCCCTGCGGCTGGGGGAGGGCGCAGGGATATCGCTGCATGAAGTGCTGGTCGCATTTACTGGGGTCCCCCTAGTAAATTCGCATGGTTGGGATGGATGGTAAACTAAAGGAAAGAGAAAGAAGTCTAGATTTATTGTCTATTATTTGCTCGTTAATTATAGGATTTCATTTAGTTTTCACATTTATCTGCAGGCCCATTTTACAAATTGGGCACAGGGAGGCTCCAGGAAGTTGCTTGTCTGAGGAAGCACAGCTAGGAAGTTGCCAAACTGTCCAACTCTCGTCAGTCTATGAGGTTATCTGCCCAGGCTTTGGTCTCCCTGGGGCAAGGCCCCGCTGGGGTTCCAACCCAGACCACCCTATTTTTAAGGTTGTCATTGGGACTGTGGAGACACTTGGATGCCAGCTAAAAGGCCATGTTCTTTGGGGAGAACACTTAACTTTCCATCTGCTCCCAATTTTAGCACATGGATTGATTTGGTTTGAATGAGAAACATTCATCCAGAACTCTATCTTCTTCAGCAGTTTCCCTTGCAGTCAAATAATGAGGTTTGGTTTGAAGGTCGGTTTATTGGGAAGGCTTGTTCCAGATTTTGCTCCACTGCCCCCACCACTGCCCTCTGGATGGGGCCTTGACCCTGAACACGCTGAACCTCATCTTGAACCAGCCTGCTGGCCAACACCTTTCCAGGACAGGCTGGCCAGGGTGGTGGGCAGGGGAGCCACACATGGGTGGCTGCATTACTGGGTGCTCACTCTCTCCTGGAGCCTCACACGGGCTCCGCGCTCATGCTTCTCCATGGATTCAGAGGGAACTGGAGTTTCCCTTGCTTGGCCTGCCACTCCCTGTGTGACTGTAGCAGTGGGCTCTCAGGGCCTCAGTATCCTCTGAAAAGCCAGTGAGTTGGACAAGACTAGCTCTAGGGTCCTATGACTGTGACGTAAGAAGGATGGTTGCCCTGGGTCGACCCAGATGAGCTGTCCCCTCTCCCACCAAGAGCCCAGGGCCCAGACCGTGTGCGGTAAACATCTGGTGAATGAGAGAGAAGCAGACCAAGGCAGACTTGAGAGTCATCTGGCATATGCGGGAAATGGCAAAGAGTGTTTCGTGGCCTCAGCCGCTCCCTCAGAACTGAGCTTTTTAAAAAATCAGGGCAAGGAGAAAGATAAGTCGGGGGAGGAGGAAAAAGTGGTGGGGAGCCAGTGACTCCACCCAGGAAATAAGGCTGACTAACCCAGTGGCAGGGGGGCTGTGCAGATGCGCCTGTCCGAGACTGGTGAGTGGGAGCATTGCTTGCTTTCCTTGATGGTCCCAGACTCATCCCTGGCCTGCCTTGGTTGCAGCCTGCAGCGGCTGAGGCCACTGTGGCTGCCCTGTGGCACCTCTGAGGAACTGACCTGCACACCCGCTGCTGGCCCTCAGTGCCTGTTCTCCTCCATCGCACTGCCCCTCCCTGTTGGGGGCTATCACCTCCATAATGGCTGGGGAGGGAGCCCAGGGTGGGGCAGATGGGTGGGACAGCCAGCAGCAGTGAGAGGGAAGTGAGAGTGAGGGTAGGGCAGGCTGGGAGGAAGAACAGCCTGATGAGCAGAAGTGCGAGGAAGAAGAGTGTTGAGAGGTGAAAGTAGGAGGGTGGCTGCCAGCAATGCTGGCCGGGAGCCCCTGGGTGGGCAGGCAAAGGCTGGGTGCTGGGGTCTATGAACAGAGACCCATACTTTTGGAAGCCACTTTGTGCCCCAGGAATGGTACCCCTAGGCCGCTGTTCCGGCAGCCGTATGCCAGGTTCCAGGTGCATTGACTGCAGCCTGGCAGCTGCCCGGCAGGACCGGCGGGTTGTGCCCATGTTGCACATGGAGGAACTCTTGAGTCAGGGCTCACCCCAGCTGTGCCAGTCCTCCTGGCAGAGGCTGCCACACTGAGTCACCGGCCTCCCAAAGGTCCTCAGTCAGCCTGGAGGTGAATTCAGATTTGACAGTGCCTATCCCAAGACAGGACTGTGCATAACTAGGTATTTGGTCTGAAGTGGTTTGGGGAGGGGGCGGGGCAGGCCTAGCCATTTGGATTCAAAGGCATGTGGCACATTTGATTACTTTGCCAACTCAACAAGACCCTGGCTGAGTGTCTGGCCTGCTCCCTGGGATACCGTGGGGGGCGGAAGGTGGTGGTGGCGCCTGGGGAAGGGTAGGAGACCTGCTTGGTGTCAGGGGAAAAAGCACTGGCCCACAATCCCCAAATGAGGCCTCTGGACCCAGCTCCTGGGAACACCCATGACCCAGGCTGGGAGGATCTGGCGTGGTTTCCAGTATTGACACCTGTCTCTCCACTCCTCTGGGAGAAGAGTAGGTGCTGTTTCGTTTCATGCCTAGGGGCGAACAGGGACTGTGACGTGAAAAGAGACCTGTTGGGGGCTGATGGACTCAGGGTCCAAGGAGAGCAGAGATCCCACTGGTACCCGGCAGGACTTATGTCCTCTGACGGCTGTCAGGCGTTTCCTTAAAGGGTCCATAACAGTGACCCCTATTCCCAGGTCCCTCAGGTCTCCTCAAAGACAGACTAAGTCAGGACTATGGGAGAGCCAGTGGGGCCGCATCCTCCCCCACCCCCAGCCCCAGGACAGTCTGATGAGACCCGTAGGCCCTGCTCTCTGCCTCCAGGGCTGCTCTAGCCTGTCCCAGCCTGTTGAAATCCTGGGCTATCCTTAGGTTCCATCTGGTCTAATAATTGGAACCCGGCAAGTCCAGTTACTCAAATGCATTCTTTGAGCACCTGCATGAGGTTCCAGCTAGATCCAGAGAAGCAAAATACAGTTCCTACCCTCAAGCCCTTATAGTCTAGTAGGAGAGACAGGCACATCCATAACTCACCGAACTATGGCAGAATGGGAAAAAGTAAAGGCTTTAACAGAGGTGTAAGAGAGGCTGCCTTGTGCACTGGTGAGTTCGCCATCATCAAAAGTGTTCAAGAAGAAGATGGCAGCCAGGAGTGTTGGCTCATACCTGTAATCCCAGCAACTTGGGAGGATAAGGTGGGAGGATCGATTGAGGCGAAGAGTTTGAGTCCAGCCTGGGCCACACATCGAGACCCTGTCTCTAAAAACGAATGAAAAAAATTTAGCTGGGTGTGGTGGCACGTACCTGTAGTCCCAACTACTTGGGAAGCTGAAGCAGGAGGATCACTGGAGCCCAGGAGTTTGAGGTTGCAGTGAGCTATGATCGTGCCATTGCACTCCAGCATGAACTACAGATCGAGACCCTGTCTCTAAAAATAATAATAATAAGAGGAGGATGGTGAGGGGTGCTATAAAAGAGATTTCTGCAATGTGAGTGCATGGGTATGTGTTGGGAGGTGGATGCAGAGCAGGACTAGATAAGAATTTAGGCTTGGCCGGGTGTGGCGGCTCATGCCTGTAATCTTAGCACTCTGGGAGGCCAAAGCAGGAGAATCTCTTGAAGTCAGGAGTTCGAGACCAGCTTCAGCAAGAGTGAGACCCTATCTCTACTAAAAATAGAAAGAAATTAGCCGAGCATGGTGGTGCATGCCTTTAGTCCCAGCCACTTAGGAAGCTGAGGCAGGAGGATCCCTCGAGCTCAGGAGTTTGAGGTTGCTGTGAGCTAGGCTGACGCCACGACACTCACTCTAGCCTGGGCAACAAAGCAAGACTGTCTCAAAAAAAAAAAAAAAAAAAAAAAGAGCTTAGGCTCCTTCTAATGCTGACTTCTGTGATCCAGTGACATTCCACCTAGAGGAAGTTTGCATTTCACTGGGTGTGGTGGGTCCCTGCTTCACTGGACCCTCCAGCTACACCATGAAACACAGGTTGTTCTTCTTTGTCTCTGTGCACCCCACTTCCCCAGGCCAAGTCCCCAGCACAGACCTTGAGTAGAATTGAATAGACTCTGTAGGGAGCTGCTTCGGGAACACAGAGGCATCAGGTGTACCCACTGTTTTAGTCAAAAATGAAGCAGTCAGGTCATGCTATAAAACAGCCTTCGAGCAGGGGATGAAGGGCGTGCTCCCAGATGAGAGGGCTGGGAGAACTGCCTGAGAAGGCTGAGGCCACTGAGTATCCTGGAAGTTTCCTCCAACAGCTGGGGCTTGATATGGGCCTAGAGGGATGGTGGAGCTTTGATGGGTGTGAGGGTGAAGCTGGGCACTGAGGAGGCTGGAGGAGCCATGGGCTTGGGTGGAAAGGCTGGGATGCGGGAAGAATGAAAGGCCAGAGGTCACAGTGGACCCTTCCCCAGGAGCTGGGAACAGAAGGCCGTGGGGCAGCGATCTAATGGGGCAGCAGGAGTTTCAGCCCTAAGTGTTGGAGTCACCTGGGGCATCTCAAACACTGAAATCCAGGCTCCACCCAGAGCGTCCAGTATGGGGCCTAGGCACTGGGGTTTTTCAGAAGCCCCCCAGAGGGTTCTAACGTGCAGGCAAGCCTGAGACTTTGTTCTGGGCGGAATTCACTGGCAGTACCTGGATGGCTTTGAACACATGTGGAATGAGGATCTCCAGACCAGAGCGTGGGCACTGCTAAAGACGAAATTATTCAATGACCCTATCATAATGGTCCTGAATAAAAGTCTCTTCCTTTATTCAGGACCATCACGAGAGGTATAGGGACCACTGCAACAGCTTCTTGCAGTGGAAGAGAGTTTGGGCTTAACTCCAACTCCAAGTACAGCATGGGTGAGTGGAAATTTATAGGCAAGGAGCAGGGTGGGGGTCAGTGGATGGGAAATTACTAAGAGGAAACATCAGGGATAAGGGGGATCTGGTTACCTCGCCGGAAGGTCTTTAAAAGAAAAAAAAGTATGTGTGTGTGTAGGGGGCAGATCTGGCTAAACTGACCTAACAGGATTCTTGCTGAAGACAGGCTGAGTGATCAGACATCACCTGGGAGACGGTGGAGGATGAGGAACCTGATCAGATATCATGGGCAGGGGGTTCTGGCTAAACTGACTTAGCAGGGTTCTTTTGCTAAAACTGAATTTTATAAGGAAATTTACAGATGGGCCTGGGAGAAGGTTCAGAAACCTGATTAAAGTTCAGCCAAACAAAAAATCTTTGTCAGCGCCTACGTTTTTATAAGGCCCAGGGTAGTTCTAGTGGGCAGCCAGGGCGATGAAGGGCAGGCGGCAGCCAGACCCCTTTCATCAAACCCTGCAGTGGCTCTCCGGGGCTTGCAGCCGTGGCATGTGGGCTGCCTGATTTTGAGTTAGTGCCTGAGCACTCATTTCAGTAACACAGAATGCAAAATCTTAAAGCTGACAATTGGCTCATTCTGCTTGTCTTTCCTGAGCTCTGCCCGCTGGCGTGAGCTGGGGGCGGCCACTTCACCACTTCAGTCCTGAGTCACAGGCTGGGCTGCCTCTTGCAGGGGATGTGGGCACAGCATGTGATCCTCTGTGGGATGGAGAAACATTAAAGGTTTCCTTCCCCAAATCTCCCCCCACTGCCTTCCCACTTCCGCAGTGTGGTGCCAAGAAATGCCTTCCACGATTTTGTAGGTTGCGAAAGGAAAAAGAAAGTCATAATTCACATGGCACTTCACATCCATTTTCTCTGCTCTTGACCGCCCCCTCTTTGTTTCCTACTCAGACTCAACACCCGCTGCTCTGCCATTCACCTCCCCAAAGACTGCGCTTTCCCTCCTGCTCTCCTGCTGCCCCTGCTTCCCCCAAGAATTTTCCTACTGGTGCCAACTTGCATTTCTCACCCTCAAATTCCCCAAGCCCTTACCCTGCACCGCTGGGGCTCACCTTACACAAACTCTGTGTGGATGGATGCACAGCATGAATTGTATTATGGATGACGTGCTTGCTGGTTATGCGGCCTCTGCATTTTAAGCCAAAAAAGAAGAAACCCTCTAGTGATGCGAACCTATGGAAGAGACAGTGAGTGAAGCTGTAGCTGCTGCATTTTCTGAATTTTAAAAAAAAGGTCATATATTTTTTAAAATGCTTGCCTTTAGCACTTTTTTCCCCCTGAATAACTCTTTGTCCAAAAAAGGTTGCTCCTGCTGACCTACAGAATAAAGATGATGTTCATCATTCTGACATTTGAGGGGAGCTGGGCACACAGAAATGATGGCCAATGCCTGGGAATGGGTGAAACTCCCCCAGGGAGGGAGTTTAGAATTAGAGCTGCCATTAAGTATAATATTAGCTGAAGGTCTTTTGGGGTTTTTTGGTATTTTTTTATTTATTATTATTATTATTTTTGGTAGATGCCTTTTATCAGGTTAAGGAAATTTCCTTGTATTCCTAGTTTGCTGAAAGTTTTTAAAATCAGGAATGGATGCAGAATTTAGCTAAACGTTTTTTCTGCATCTATTGAGGTGATTATACACACACACACACACACACATATGTTTGTTAATAGGATGGATAACATTGATTTTTCAGATTTTTTGTATTGTGATCTGCTTGATTTATTTCTTTTTAGTTTATGATTAACACATAATAATTGTACATATTGATGGGGTAGAGTGCAATGTTTCAATGCACATATACATTGTATTAATATAGGGATCCATTATATTAATGTCCATCACTTTAAACATTTATCATTTCTTTGTAGTGATAACTTTCAAAATTTTCTATCTTGAAATATACACTGCATTTTTATTAGCTATAGTCACCCTGATTTTCAGATGTTAAAC